GGGGGGGGGGGGGGGGGGCAGGAATAATCCCCTGCCATTCTTTGTCCCTGGAAGTGGGACCGACCAGACACCGTAGACCCCTCCCCTGGCAAGCAAACACCTCTGCCTCAATCTCCAACGGGAGGCCAGCTTTGGCTGCGGGTCTCCTGGCTGGAGCCCTTGACCTCACCGGCCTTTTGCATCTCCCATCTAGTTCTGACTGGTTGGTTGGTTGATTTCATTTAAAAGATGTGTATAATTTTGGTAGTTGTCAGTTGGGTGCAGGAGCCTGGAGGCCCTGAAAACTGGCTGGCTCCTTTGTCCATTTTGGCAGGGGCTACCTAGGCTATTCCACACACACACACCCCAACCACATCTTTGTTCTGGGTCTTGCCCTGGCCTGCCAGAGCTCTGATGGCTTTCAAGGGGATGTTTTTCTTTGCTTGGAGCTTCAACTGAATTGTCCAGAAAGTCAGTCTTGGTCATTTCACCCCATTCTTTATTTCTCAGAAAGAAGTGCACGGCGCTGCAGACAGACGCTGCTGCAGGGTGGCCTTTCCATCTCTCCCAACAACAGGAATGTGAAACACGTGCTGGTTCTGTGCTCAGGGGCCCAGGGGAAGGGCCACCATCAGGCCCCCCTTTTTTGTTAGTGGGCACAGCAAGTGGGCTGGGGTGGGCGAAGAGCAGTGCCCTGGAATGAAGCCCCGAGAGCTGCACTCGGTCCGGGAAAGAAGCCTCTGGGAGGGGGCAGTCCAAGGCCGGAGGGCTGGAAGGATGGGGCACCCCACAGCTACCTGTGGGTGCCAGGGACGGATTGATTATCTGCCATCTTGTCGGTGCCAACTCTTAGCCACCACACAGATAGATTTTCTCCAGGAGGATCGCTCCCCACCCTGGTCTTTCAGGTCTCCCAGTGGTGCCCCCATCACCCCTGTAATGGAGTCCCTCCCCCGGCTGCTGCCCGTCCTCTTCTCCTCTTTCCCTCCACCTTTCCCAGCGTTACGGACTTTTCCAGGGAGCTGCATCCAGGGGTCTTCGCATCACGTGTCCAAAGCCAGAGAAGAGGCCGCCTCCATTCTGCACGGCGAATCCCAGGGCCCCCTGCCAGGCTGGGCTTAGGCGCCCCTTGTCAGAAGAACAGGGAGGGCCTGCTCGTGTCGGCGTCGAAGGCCTGAATCTGGGCCTTGAGGTAGGAGATCTGCTTCCAGAGATACTGGCAGCGCTCCTGCTGCTCCAGGAATGCTGGAT